ACCCCATCAGTTTGCATCCCTACTTTCAATTATTTTACATATATACCTAGAAGTAGAATTTCTGGATTATACGGCAATTCTATTTTTAATGTTTTGAGAAATTACCATATTGTTTTCCACAGTGGCTGTATGAGACAGCTTGGATATGTGTATCCCCTCTAAATCACATGTTGAATTGTAATCCCCAGTGTTGGAAGTGGGGCCTGGTGGGAGGTAATTGGATCATGCGAGTGGTTTTCTCATAAACGGTTCAGCACCATTCCCTGGGTGCTATTGTCATGATGGTGAGTTCTCATTAGATCTGGTCCTTGAAAGTGTGTGGGCTGGGTGCGGTGACTCACCCCTGTAATCCCAGCACTCTGGGAGGCCGAGGCGGACAGATCACCTGAGGTGAGCAGTTCAAGACCAGGTTGACCATCATGGTGAAACCCTATCTCTACTAAAAATACATAATTAGCTGGGTGTGGTGGCAGGCGCCTGTAATCCCACCTACTCAGGATGCTGAGGCAGGAGAATCGCTTGAAACCGAGAGGCGGAGGTTGTAGTGAGCTGAGATTGCACCATTGCTTTCCAGCCTGGAAAACAAGAGTAAAACTCCATTTCAAAAAAAGAAAGAAAAGAAAAGAAAAGAAAGAAGGAAGGAAAGAAGGAAAGAAAGGAAGAGTGTGGCACCTCCCCGCGCCCCCACTCTCTCTCTTACTCCTGCTTTCACCATGTAAAGTGCCTGCTCCTGCTTTGCCTTCCACCATGAATGAAAGCTCCTTGAGGCCTCCCTAGAAGTTGAGCAGGGCCATGCTTCCTATAAAGCCTGCAGAACCATAAGCCAATTAAACCTCTTTTCTAATTACCCAGTCTCAGGTATTTCTTTACAGCAATGCAAGAATGATCTAATACATTGTACCATTTTACATTCCCACCAATAGTGCACAAAGGTTCCAATATCTCCACATTCCTGCCAACATTTGTTATGTATTTTTTTTACGTTAAGCATCCTATTGAGTGTGAGGTGATATCTCATTGCGTGGTTTTTTTCATTTTTTGTTTTCATTTTTTTTTTGTTTTTCAGACATAGTCTCACGGTCACTCAGGCTAGAGTACAGTGGTGCGATCTCAGCTCACTGCAACCTTTGCCTCCCAGGTTCAAGTGATTCTTGTGCCTCAGCTTCCCAAGTACGTGGGACTACAGGCACACGCTACCATGCCCAGCTAATTTTTGTATTTTTTGGTAGAGATGGGGTTTCACCATGTTGGCTAGGCTGATCTTGAATTCCTGACCTCCAGTGATCCACTTGCTTCGGCCTCCCAAAGTGCTGGGATTACAGGCATGAGCTACCGTGCCCAGCCTCACTGTGGCTGTGACTAGCATTTCCTTAATGGCTAGTGATTTTGAACATCTCTTCATATGCTTGTCGGCCCCAGCAGAACGAGACGTATGGAGCAGATCAGAATAGCAGTGTAATGTTCTGAAAACTAAACTGGCATTGGAACTAAAGCCTACAAAAGTAGATCAGATCTTTCCTAAATCTAACAGGATAACTACTTGCTCAAATTGATTAAATAGAATCAAGACTTTCTGAAACATAATAACTGAAATATCCAAGGTACAACTGAAAATCATTTGTCATACCAAAAACCAAGAGAACCAAAATCTGAAGAAGAAAAGGCAATCAACTAATGCAAATACAAGGATGACTCACATTTGGAATTATCTGACAAAGACTTTAAAACATACTTCACAAAAAGGCTTTGCCAATCAATTATAAATTCTCTTGAAACATATTTTATTATTTACTTATGTTTTTTTTTTTGAGACAGAGTCTCACTCTTGGCACCCAGGCTGGAATGCAATGACATAATCTTGGCTCACTGCAACCTCTGCTTCCCGGGTTCAAGCAATTCTCTTGCCTCAGCCTCCTGAGTAGCTGGGATTACAGGCTGGGCCATCATGCCCAGCTAATTTTTTGTATTTGTAGTAGAGACGGGTTTCACCATGTTGGCCAGGCTGGTCTTGAAATCCTGACCTCAGATAATCCACCCGCCCTCGCCTCCCAAAGTGCTGGGATTACAGGTGTGAGCCACCTCGCCTGGCCTGAGCCACCGTGCCTGGCCTGAGCCACCACACCCGGCTGAAACAGTATAGTGCAAACTTAAAAACTGCTAGGAGAGTAGATGTTAAATGTTCTCCCACACATAAAAAAATAAGTTTCTAAGACAACTATTGTGGAAGAACAAAAAAAGAAGCATGTGAGGTAATAGATATGCTAATTAGCTAGAGTTAATCGTTTCACGATATATACATATAACAAAACATTATATTGTAGGCCATAAATACATACAATTTGAATTTTTCAATTAAAAAATAATTTATAAAATAATCCGGCTGGGCTTGGTGGCTCACACCTGTAATCCCAGCACTTTGGGAGGCTGGGGTGGGTGGATCCCAGCATCAGGAGTTCGAGACCAGCCTAACCAACATGGTGAAACCCCATCTCTACTAAAAACACAAAAATTAGCCGGGCGTGGTGGTGGGCACCTGTAATCCCAGCTACTCAGGAGGCTGAGGCAGGAGAATCACTTGAACCCGGGAGGCAGAGGTTCCAATGAGTTGAGATTGTCACTGCACTTCAGCCTGGGCAACAGAGTAAGATTCTGTCTTAAAAAAAAAAATAAAATAGGCTGGGCGCGGTGGCTCAAGCCTGTAATCCCAGCACTTTGGGAGGCCGAGACGGGCGGATCACGAGGCCAGGAGATCGACACCATCCTGGCTAACACGGTGAAACCCCGTCTCTACTAAAAAATACAAAAAACTAGCCGGGCGAGGTGGCGGGCGCCTGTAGTCCCAGCTACTCGGGAGGCTGAGGCAGGAGAATGGCGTGAACCCGGGAGGCAGAGCTTGCAGTGAGCCGAGATCCGGCCACTGCACTCCAGCCTGGGCGACAGAGCAAGACTCCGTCTCAAAAAATAAATAAATAAATAAATAAATAAATAAATAAAATAAAATAAAATAAAATAAATAATAATAATAATCATGGGTCAAAGAGGGAGTCTCAAAGGAAAAAATATTCAAAACAATTATAAATACATATATCCTTTATATATACGAATATACAGAATAATAAGACCACCACACACAACTTACACTTATAACTTCAACAGATTAGAAGATATGGACCAAATGTTTGAAAATCACAAACTACCAATACCCTGCTAAGATAAAATAGGTAATCTGAATAGTCCTACAACTATTAAATAAATTGAATTTATAATTAAAAAGTCCCCAAAAAGAAATCTCCAGGTTCGGACAGTTGCACTGGAGAAGTTTACCAAACATTCATATAATGTTTTACACAATTTCTTCCAGAAAACAGAAAAGACAACACTTCTCAACTCACTTTATAAGGCCAGTATTACTGTGATACCAAAACAAGACTACGGTGACACAACAAAGAAAATAAACATCAATATCTTTCATGAACTTAAACGAGAAAATTGTCAACTAAATTTTAGCAAGTCAAATCCAACCCAACAATGAATAAAATGCATAATATACCACGACTAAGTGGGATTTAGTCTAGGTATAAGAAGCTAATTTAATATTTAAAAATAGTTCAATATATTATATAAATATGATAGATAAGAAAAATAACATGATGACATGAACACTAATTCATATTCAAAAAACAACCTCTGCCAGGCACAGTGGCTCACACCTGTAATCCCAGCACTTTGGGAGGCAGAGACGGACGGATCACCTGAGGTCAGGAGTTTGAGACCAGCCTGGCCAACATAGTGAAACCCTGTCTTTACTAAAAAAAAAAAAAAAAAATACAAACGTTAGCTGGGTGTGGTGGTGCATGCCTGTAATTCCAGCTATTTGCAAGGCTGAGGCAGGAGAATCGCTTGAACCTGGGAGGTGGAGGTTGCAGTGAGCTGAGATCACGCCACTGCACTCCAGCCTGGGTGACAGAGCAAGACCCCGTCACCAAAAACAAACAAAGAAACAAAACTATAAAATGTCTAAAAAATAAAATCTTAAGGACCTTTGAGTAGGCAAACAATTATTAGACTGGACACTAAATACACATACACACACCAAAAACACAATTCATAAGAGAAAAGAAGATAAATTAGACCTCATCAAAATTAAGAACTTCTGCTCTGCAAAGACCCTGTTAAAAGGATAAAAAGACAAATTACAGGGCAACCCACTGGGGTCCCCTTCCATGCTGTGGAAGCTTTGTTCTTTCACTCTTCACAAAAAACTTTGCTAAAAAAAAAAAAAGACAAATTACAGTCTGGGAGAAAATATTTGCAGGTTATATATTCAACAAAGGCATTCTGTCTAAGATACAAAAAGAACTTTGAAAACGCAACAGTATAAAACCAACCAAATTAGAAAATGGGCAAAAGGCATGGAGAGACATTTCACTGAACAGGATAGACAGATGGCACACACAGATGTTCAACATTATTTGCCATTAAGGAAATTCAAATTAAAACCACAATGAGATATAATTACCCACCTATTAGAATGGCTAGAATGAAAAACAATTACAACACCAAGTGCTGGCTATGATTAAAGAAACTAGATCACACATACATTGCTGGTAAGAAAGTAAAATGGTACAAAGATTGTCAACAATAATTTAGCAGCTCCTTGAAAAACTAAAAATGAACTTATTACACTACACAGCAACTACACCCTTGAGCATTTATCGTAAATAAATGAAGACTTATTTTCACATGCACAAGTTTGTACATGAATGTAAAAAACAAAAAACCCATATATATGTGTATGTGTATATGAAATAAAAGAAAAAAAAACCATTTTCAAAAGGACAAGTATTGCAGGATTCTATTTATATAACATTTATGAAATTACATAATTATACAGAGAACAGAACAGTGGTTGCCAAGGTGTATTAGTCTGTTCTCATGCTGCTGATAAAGACATACCCGGGACTGGGTAATTTATAAAGAAAAAAGTTTAATGGACTCACAGTTCCACGTGGCTGGGGAGGCCTCACAATCATGGCAGAAGGCAAAGGAGGAGAAAAGGCACATCTTACACGGCAGCAAGCAAGACAGAATGAGAGCCAAGGGAAAGGGGAAACCCCTTATAAAACCATCAGATCTTGTGACACTCACTACCACGAGAACAGTATGGAGGAAACTGCCCCCATGATTCAATTATCTCCCACCTGGTCCCTCCCACAACACATGGGAATTATGGGAGCTATAATTCAAGATGAGATTTGGGAGAAGACACAGCCAAACCATATTACAAGGGATAGGAAAAAGAGAAATGGGACAAGTATAGCTATAAAGAGGTAACACAAGGGAGTCTTGTGATGGTATTGTTGAGTATTTTGACTACTGTGGTGGTGACACAAGGCTACATGTGATAAAACTGCATAGAGCTATAAATATACACACAGAAAGGAGTGCATGTATAACTGGTGAAATCTGAGTAAGTTCTACGAATTGTAGCAATGTCAATTTTTTGGTATGGTATTGTACTATAGTTGGATAAGGTATTAACCCTAGGGGAAGCTGCAAAAGGGGTGCACAGGACTCCCCTGTACGTTTCTTTGCAACCTCTTGTGAATCCATAATTATTTCAAAATAAAGGGTTTTTTTAAAGAAAATCCATGCCAAGGAAAAAGCCTAACCAGGTATTAAAAAACTGGTAAAGGAATGTTATCTTTACATTAAAACATGTATGAGAATATGTATCGTTTTTCCATGATTCCTCTCTATTAGTTTCTTAGGGCTGCCATTAACAAAGTCCCACAAACTGGGTGGCTTAAAACACCACAAATGTATTCTCTCACAGTTCTGTAGCACTTTATTTATTTATTTATTGAGACAGGGTCTTGCTCTGTTACCATACTAGAGCGTAATGACAGAATCATGGTTCTCTGCAGCCTTGACCTCCCAGGCTCAAGCAATCTTCCCAACTCGGCCTCTTGAGTAGATGGGACTACAGGTGCATGCCACCGTGCTAGGCTACAGACAAGGTGTCACTATATTACCCAGACTGGTATCAAACTCCTAGGCTCAAGCAATCCTTCCACCTTGGCCTCCCAAAGTGCTGGGATTACAGGCGCGAGCCACCACGTTCAGCCTATAGCGCTTCAATGAGTCACAGACATCATCAAAGAACTCTGGCCTATAGAATGGATCTGTTTTTGGCCTACACACCCCAAACTTTCCTGGTTGATCTCCTTTCTTCTCAATCATCCCTCTGCCATCTCTACCTCCTCAATATAGTCATATATTACTTTCTCTAATTTTCCTAATTTCTAATCAACACTATTTTTTTGCCTAGTGATTCTATGAGAATATCCATCCATGTATTCTTGATCCCCTACTAGATTGAAAATGTCTGTATAACACTTTAAAACTGTATTCCTATCACCTAGCAAAGCAACTTGTATGAATCTTTTATTTATCTATTTTGAGACAGCATCTTGCAGTGTCACCTAAACTGGAGTAAAGTGGTACAATCTTGGCTCACTGTAGCCTCAAACTCCTGGGCTCAAATGATCTCCCACCTCAGTCTGCTGAATATCTGGGACTACAGGCATACACCACCATGCCTGGCTAATTTTTTAATTTTTAATTCTTTGTAAAGACAGGGCTTTTGCTATGTTGCCAGACTGGTCACAAACTCCTAAGCTCAAGTAATCCTCCCACCTGAGCCTCCCAAAGTGCTGAGATTGCAGGTGTGAGCCACTGAGCGTGGCCTGAATCTTTTAAAAAAATTTATAAACAGCTGGGCACAGCGATGCATGCCTGTAATCCTAGCAATTTGGGAGGCTGAGGTGGGAGGATTGCTTAAGGAGGTCGACACCAGCCCGGGCAATATAGCGAGACCTCATCTCTGCAAAAATTTAAAAAATTAGCTAGGTATGGTGACGTGTGCCTGTAGTTCCAGCTACTCAGGAAATTGAGGTGAGAGGATTGCTTAAGCCAGGGAGGCAGAGGTTGTAGTGAGCTAAGTTTGCACCACTGCACTCCATCCAGCCTGAGTGACAAAGTAAAACCCTGTCTCAAAACAAACAAACAAAAATTAATAAACACTGTAGATTGTGTCCTTTGATGTACAGAGTTTTTAGGTTTGATGTAGTCCCATTTGTCTATTTTTGCTTTTGTTGCCAGTGCTTTTGGTGTTACATACACAATAAATCATTGCCAAATCCAATGTTATGAAGCTTTTCTCCAGTATTTTCTTCTAAGAGTTTTTGTTGTTTTAGATCTCACATTTAGGTCTTTGATTTTCTTTTTTTTTTTTTTTTTTTTTGAGACGGAGTCTCACTCTGTGGCCCGGGCTGGAGTACAGTGGCCGGATCTCAGCTCACTGCAAGCTCCGCCTCCCGGGTTTACGTCATTCTCCTGCCTCAGCCTCCCAAGTAGCTGGGACTACAGGCGCCCGCCACCTCGCCCGGCTAGTTTTTTGTATTTTTTTAGTAGAGACGGGGTTTCACTGTGTTAGCCAGGATGGTGTCGATCTCCTGGCCTCGTGATCCGCCCGTCTCGGCCTCCCAAAGTGCTGGGATTACAGGCTTGAGCCACCGCGCCCGGCCTTGAGTTAATTTTTCTATCTGGTATAAGACAAGGGTACAAATGTATTCCTTTGCCTGTGGATAATCCAATTTTCTCCATGGAAGTGTTGGCACCCTTGTCTAAAATCATTTGACTATTTATGCAAGGGTTTATTTCTGGGCTCTCTATTCTATTCCATTAGTCTACATGTCTATCTTTATGCCAGTACCACACTGTTTGATTACTATAGGTTTGTAATATGTTTTGAAATCAGGTTTTCCCTAAGTATTTGATTTAAAATAACCTTGCCAACCCAACATTCTGAACAGCTGGTCTGTTCCCTGCAAGGGCTTCCTGTGCTTGCTCACTCACCTGGGCACCATCTTCCTGTCTCTTCCCTCACAACCATCCAGGGCTCCTTCCCTTGCTCCAATGAGGAGATTATGGCTGGCTTAGAAACAGAAAGACCTAGTTATAAGAAAAGAAATTGAGATGAGATGGAAATGAATGTATCCAAATACAGTAATTTAGAACTGATTAAAATAAAAATAAATCACAGATAAAAATGGTACTTGATAAGGGATACAGAGGAAATAAAGGAGAAGAGATGAAATCCTCATATTCATATGAACACAGGATCATAACAAACAAAGCAAACAAATAGGCGATAAAATAGTACTTAAATTTATGTAAGCTTTCTCTTATTTTGCTGTGAGGAAAAAAAAAAGAAGCTTCCTAAAATATTTATTCTTTTAAAAAATTTTTTTTTGAGACGGAGTTTTGCTCTTGTTGTCCAGGCTAGAGTGCAATCGCACAATCTCGGCTCACTGCAACCTCCACTTCACGGGTTCACGTGATTCTCCTGCCTCAGCCTCCTAAGTAGCCAGGATTACAGTACACCCACCACAGTGCCTGGCTAATTTTTGCATTTTTAGTAGAAACGGGGTTTCGCCCATATTGGCCAGGCTGGTCTCAAACTCCTTACCTCAGGTGATCCACCCGCCTCAGCCTCCCAAAGTACTAGGATTACAGGCATAAGCCACTGCACCCGGCCTCATATTTTTTAAATGTTAACTGTACAAAGTTCTTAAAAAATAACTTCCAAAGGCAAATCATTTAAAAGAGAATACAGGTCAGGCATGGTGGCTCACGCCTGTAATCCCAACACTTGACGAGGCCAACGCAGGTGGATCACTTGAGATCAGAATTTTGAGACCAGCCTGGCCAACATGGTGAAACCCTGTTTCTACTAAACATACAAAAATTAGCTGTGCCTGGTGGCGAGCACCTGTAATCCCATCTACTCAGGAGGCTGAGGCAGGAGAATTGCTTGAACCTGGGAGGCAGAGGATGTGGTGAGCCGAGATGCGCCATTGCACTCTAGCCTGGGCGACAAAAGTGAAACTCTGTCACCGGGTGTGGTGGCTCACGCCTATAATCCCAGCAGTTTGGGAGGCCAAGGCAGGTGATCACCTGAGGTCAGGAGTTTGAGACCAGTCTGACCAACATGGAAAAAACACGTCTCTACTAAAAATACAAAATTAGCCAGGTGTGGTGGCGCATGCCTGTAATCCCAGCTACTCGGAAGGCTGAGGCAGGAGAATCGCTTGAACCTGGGAGGCAGAGGTTGCGGTGAGCTGAGATCACGCCATTGCACTCCAGCCTGGGCAATGAGAGCGAAACTCCATCTCAAAAAACAAACAAATAAATTAAATAAAAAATGAAAGAGGACATTTATTATAGGAAATGGAGTGGTGTTCCTTTGAGAATAGTAAATGAACCTTTATTACTCTAGCCTACCACTCTGTTACCCAGGAAAGAAAAAAGCTTCGCTCCTGGAACCCATGTGTCTAGTTTTAATCTTATGCTAGTACACTGGCAGATTTAGTACAGTGGACGTGAAAAAAAGACAGAGTGCTTTCTTTGACAGCGTTATGCTTTAACATTGCAGATTTCCAATTCTGCCCCTTAAACATCAAAGAAGAGTTATTATAAGAAAGTACCAAAAGAACATGTAAGGATGGGGAAAATGAAAATGTCCCTCCATTTAGCTGTGCTTGTTTCTACAGTACATAAAGAGAAAATCCATCCAGTTATTTGAAAGCTAGCCCTAAATTAATAGGGGAGAAAGAAGAAATTCTAAGTAGATTGTGAATTGTTAGAAGAATTCTGAATTGTCAGGTTCTTAATTTTTAGATAACTTTACCAAGTGACACCAAGTTGCTATAATTCTCCAACATCACCTCCTTGTACAAATTCCTCTGCGCTGGGTTCAGGCATTCCCATTCCTCCTGAGAGACATCTATAGCCACATCTCTGAACATCACCAACTCCTAAAATGACAAATCGTAGTACTATTTTTGAAATTATAAGAAACATTTTTAAAAAGAAAAGAGAGGCGCTAAAAGAAGGTACTGCAAGAAAGGAGACAGTCTACTGAATATATAGGCTAAGCCTGGGTCACGGGTCAAAGAGGAATTTAGTGTGACTGACGCGGAGTATCCACATGTTCTTAAACAATTCAATTTCTGCAGATACATCTTCTTGTGTAGGTGGTAAACTCCTGTTAATCAGTCATCTCGAAACTAAGAAAGTAAGTACAGGCTCCCAATTAAATTAAATAGTTTAAAATGTTTAAATCTTTCCAAAATGTCTTATTAAAATCTCTATCTTGAGAAAAATAACTTGAAGACTTTACTTTAAGATTATGACTATCATACCATAGGCATTTTTAGTTTTCCTGCAAATTCTTTAGTACACATCTGGTGCAGACTACATTTTCCATAGACGGACACTGCTGTATCTTGCATCGCATATATTCTTCAATTTAATCTTGACATCCCCCTTCCAATTGGTGTGAAGTTATGTGTCCCCTTCTCTTGAACCTGAAAGGACATCTTTCAACCTATAGACTTATTCACCCTATAGAATATGGCAGAAGTGATTATGTGACTTCCGTGGTTAGATCACAAAAACATATCATACTTCTGCCTTACTTTCTGGGGATGTTCGTTCTGGAAACCCAGCCACCATGTTCCTAGGAAGCCTAACCAGCCCATGGGATAGCTCATGGGGAAAGGAACCAAGCCTCCCCAAACAACAGTCAGCAACAGCTTGCAAGCCATGTGAGGGAACTATCTTGAAAGTGGGTCATGTAGTTCCCAATCAGACCATTTCAGCTGATACCACATGGAACAGAGGTGAGCGATCCCTACTGAGCTCTGCTCAGACTGTGGATTTGCAAGCCCAACCATGATTGCTGTTTTAATCTACTAAATTTTGGGTTGGTTTATTATCTAGAAATAGTTATTGTAACATAATATGATTTTTATTCGTAGCATAACATTTGATTTTTTTTTTTTTTTTTTTTTTGAGACAGAGTCTCGCTCTGCCACCCAGGCTGGAGTGCAGTGGCTGGATCTCAGCTCACTGCAAGCTCTGCCTCCCGGGTTCACACCATTCTCTTGCCTCAGCCTCCCAAGTAGCTGGGATTACAGGTGCCCGCCACCTCACCCGGCTAATTTTTTTTTGTATTTTTAGTAGAGACAGGGTTTCACCGTGTTAGCCAGGATGGTCTCGATCTCCTGACCTCGTGATCCGCCCGTCTCGGCCTCCCAAAGTGCTGGGATTACAGGCTTGAGCCACCGCGCCCGGCCCCTTTTTTTTTTTTGAGAGACGGGGTCTCACTATATTCCCCTGGCTGGTCTCGAACTCCTGGCCTCAAACAATCCTCCCACCTCAGCCTCCCAAAGTGCTGGGATTACAGGCATGAGCCACTGCACCCAGCCTCATTTAATCTTACAATAAAATATTTAATAATTCTCTTAAGCTTGAATCTCTGGGGTGAATAAAATCTCTAAGGTATTTTCTAAGGTACATATTCCATTGTTTTATAATTACACTTGAGAGGTCTTAACTGTTATCATCCACCACCTCTCCCTGTATATTTACTATGTTCCTAAACTAAAGAATATTAATGTAGAATGATCCAGACTCTCATAGATGTGACCCAAGTCTAACATATGCTGTTCAATCTAAAACTGGGGTTTGTAATTGGTGATCATATATTTTCTGGCAAGATCTTCAGTTTTTCCACGCAAGCACTAATCCTATCTTCCATCTAATCCTAAAGCCTCACGCAGCAAAGTCTGTCTGCTCAATGAGATCACCAAACACAAATTCCTGGCCGGGCGCGGTGGCTCAAGCCTGTAATCCCAGCACTTTGGGAGGCCGAGACAGGCGGATCACGAGGTCAGGAAATCGAGACCATCCTGGCTAACATGGTGAAACCCGATCTCTACTAAAAAATACAAAAAGCTAGCCGGGCGAGGTGGCGGGCGCCTGTAGTCCCAGCTACTCTGGAGGCTGAGGCAGGAGAATGGCGTGAACCCGGGAGGCGGAGCTTGCAGTGAGCTGAGATCCGGCCACTGCACTCCAGCCCGGGTGATAGAGCGAGACTCCGTCTCAAAAAAAAAAAAAACAAAAAAACAAAACAAACAAAAAAAACACACCAATTCCTATCACATCTCACCGGAAAACCCAAAATTGTGAAGTTCAAAGATTTCCCACATGTGATTTAACCATTCATTCCCTGAGGACACCTCAAGTGGTAGCTTTTTTTTTCTCCCACAGCCTTCGTACCACCGTCCTCCTTGTTTCTAATCGTTGATGTCAGACAACTGTCTTTCCTTCTCTAAAATCTTTTTTTTTTGAAATGGAATCTCACTCTGTCGCCCAGGCTGGAGTGCAGTGGCATGGCCTCTGCTCACTGCAACCTCTGCCTCCTGGGTTCAAGCAATTCTCGTGCCTCAGCCTCCCAAGTAGCTGGGATTACAGGCGCACACCACCACACCTGGCTAATTTTTGTATTTTTTGTAAGGAAGGGGTTTCACCATGTTGTCCAGGCTAGTCTCAAACTCCTGACCTCAAGTGATCTGCCTGCCTCGGCCTCTCAAAATGCTGGGATTACGGTTGTGACCCACCGCACCTGGGTCCCTTCTCTAAAATATAATGTCATCATTTCATCAGTCTATACCATGTATTATCTCTCTCTCCATTGCAGTGATGTATTTACATGCAGGTTTTTGCCCCTCAGGAATTTTCGCTCCTGGCTCAGTATCACTAACTCTAATACTATAATCTTAATTTTCAGTGATTTCAAATATCCGTATACTGCGTTCTTCTAACATCATGGGCCCAATTCCTTAACCTCTTCTACTTTTCTATGAGCTTATCTTCCACTCTACTGTACTCACTCCCCACGTTATTACTCTAGACCTTGTGACCAGCAATAACTGCATCACCTCCAAAATATCAAGTATCCTTCTCTGATCCCCTTCACATTGGCACTCACCCACTCCATGCCTCTTCTCCCTCTTCTTACCCAACTTAAATTCCATGCTCAACTAATCACTTAACTTTATAATCACTCCCAGCATGAGCTCCCTTAACCCTCTCATTTCGCACTTGCTTGACAAAGCCTGAATCCTTGATGAATCCATCTCTCTTTCTACTCCATCACCAAATCTAAGTAGCTAAAATTGGCTAGAGAAAATTATAAAACTTAATAACAAGTTTTATTTTTATATTTTCTTTCTCTTTTTTTTTGCGAGGGGTGGTAAGGGTGGGGCATCTTTCTTTGTCACATAAGCTGGAGTCCAGTGGCGAGATCTTAGCTCACACTGCAACCTCAAACTCCCGGGCACAACTGATTCTCCCATCTCAGTGTCCCAAGTAGCTGGGACTACAGGCATGTGCCACCATACTCAGCTAATTTTTTTTTGTGTGTACCGATGGGGGTCTTTGTTGTCCAGGCTGGTCTCAAACTCCTGGTTTCAAGCAGTCCTCTTGCTGTGGCCTCCCAAAGTGTTGGAATTACAGGCATGAGCCACTGCACCTGGCATATTTTTATATTTTTCTTTTCCTTTCTTAAATGGTTAAGAACTAAAAAGGTATACATTCAGATGTCTTGCCTCATATTTATCCTTTCCATTTTGTCTCCCACCTCTTGCCCCCATGAGCGCAAAAAGTTATTAAAAAACTTTATAAGTAAATACATACATATAATTTTTCATGCTTTTATACAAATAGTAACATATTATAATATATGCACTGTTTGGTACTTGATTTTTTTTTCAGTTACTAAATTCAAAGTATCTTGCCATATCTGTGATGAATGGCTTCTTTATTTTTACATAAGTATATATAGTCCAATTATTTGTATTAACACTGATGGTTTATCAATTAAACCTATAGATTCATTATTTCTAGTCTTTGGCTATTATAAACAACAGTACAATGAATGCTATTGTGAATTTATCATTTCATACAAATACGGGTATATCTGTAAGAAAAAGTACCAGGAGTTGGATTGCTGGGTCAAAATGGAAAATATATTTTGGTAGATGTCAAATTGCCCTTGAAAGCAGTTAGACCATTTTGTTCTCCTCACAGACTCACTAACAGGGTGCTTTGTCAAAACATTTTATTTTTACCAATCTAACAAGAAAGAAATGTCCACTAAAACTCTATGTCATAAACTCTACTGCCACGGAGTTTTAGTGGACATTTCTTTAATTGTGAGTTTAGTACTTTTCTTTTTAGAAGAACCCTTTATATTTCCTTTTCTGTGAACTCTCTATTCAGGTCCTTTGGCCTTTTTTCTACTGGGCTATTCATCTTTTTTTCTCTAAAAGTTCTCTATATTAGAGAAATAATAAGCTCTTTCCTTGTTTATGAGTGGTAAATACTTTACTCCAGTTTGTCATCTGTCTTCTGACTTTGCTGACAAGTGTTTCTCGCCATGCAGAAGTTTTTTTATTTTAATGTGGTAAAATGTGTTAACCTTTTCTTTTTCTAGTTTTTGGATTCTGAGTCCTAGTTAGAAAGGCATTCCCCAAACCAAAGTTATGGAGGAATTCTCCCATGTTTTATTCTAGTGCTGTTATCACTGTATTTTTAACAATTAAATTATTTGATTTATTGTAATTTATCCTATATGGTACGTGGGATATAGATTGGACTTTATCTTTTTCCAAAATTGCTCCCTATCTGATAATGTTATCAACAGTCCATCTTTAGCCTACCGATTGGACATGTCATGTTAACCATGAGTTATATTCCCATTTTTAGGTATAACTCTAGGATTTCTATTCTGTTCACTTGATCCAATTATCATGTTTTCAGTATTGTGCCTTTCCATTATATGTAATTATGTGTAATTACCTGGTAGAGCTAATGTCCCCTCTACAGAGGGAATTAACAGAACCCTGAGTCAACAACACGTAACATGCAATAAAAAGTGTACAATAGGCTGGGCGTGGTGGCTCACACCTGTAATCCTAGCACTCTGGGAGGCTGAGGCAGGTGGATCACTTGAGGTCAGGAGTTTGAGACCAGCCTGGGCAACATGGTGAAACTCCATCTCTACTAAAAATACAAAAAATTAGCTGAGTGTGGTGGCATACAACTGTGGTCCCAGATACTTGGGAGGCTGAGGTGGGATAGTCGCTTGAACCTGGGAGGCAGAGGTTGCAGTGAGCTGAGATTGGGCCACTGCATTCCAGCCTGGGTGACAGATTGAGACTCCGTCTCAAAAAAATAAATAAATAAAAATAAATAAAATCACTAGAAATGAAAAAATATGATTTTCAAGAGAAAACCACTTAATAGAAACATATCTACAAATGACACAGATGTTGAAATTGGCAAAGACTATAAAAACTATGAGATATATTTAAAAAATCTACAGGAGGGAAAAAGGGAAATTTCAGGTGAAATTTGAATACTCTAAAAAAGAACCCAACGCAAATCCCAAAACTAAGAAATGAACTATATGAGGCCGGGTGTGGCGGTGGACACCTGTAATCCCAGCACTTTGGGAGGCTGAGGCGGGTGGATCACCTGAGGTCAGGAGTTCGAGATCAGCCTGGCCAATGTGGTGAAACCCTGGTCTCTACTAAAAATACAAAAATTAGCCAGGCATGGTGGTGTACAAAAATGTTAAAGGAAATTCTTCACGTGGAAAAAAAAATTGATACTAGATAAAATCTTCAGTCTATACAGAAGAATAAAGAGTGTTAGAAATGGTAAACATAGGGTTAAAACATAAGATATTCTTTTCATTTAATAATTTCTTTAAAAGATAATCAATTAAAGAAAGAAATATATGCTTTAAGCAAATTTAGAAATAAAATATATGACAAAAAAAAAAAAAAAAGACAGGAAGGGGAAATAGAAGTATCCAGTTGTGCCTGGTGCAGTGGCTCACCCCTGTAAGCCACTCCAGGGAGGCAGGATTGCTTAAGGCCATGAGACCAGCCTGGGTAACAAAGTGAGATGGCATCTCTACAAAAAATTAAACAATTAGCCAGACGTGGTGGCACACAACTGTAGTCCTAGTTACTTGGAAGGCTAAGGCAGGAGGATCACTTGAGCCTAGGAGTTCGAGGCTGCAATAAGCTATGATGACACCACTGGACTCCAACCTGGGCAACAGAGCATGACCCAGTCTCTTAAAAAAAAAAAAAAAAGAAAAGTATCCAGCTGTAAGACGTTTACATTATCCTGAAATGTTCTAAAATGACTCGAATAATGTAAAGCACATTGCAAACCTTAAAACAACCCCTAAAACAGCAAAACAAAGAGATACAGCAAATAATCCTATAGTGAAGATAAAATTAAACACTAAAAAAATAAGATTAATTCAAGACAAGGCAGGAAAACAGGAAAAAAAAATTTAAAAAGAACAGTTGACAAAATGATAGAGTAAAACCTAACTATATTGCTAATTACATTAAATTTAAGTGGTCAAACTACAGTATATTTCCTGACTTATTTTATGGAGCCAGCATTGCCCTGACACTAAAACTTAAAAATTAATTAAAAATTAAGATGAAAGAAAGTCATTTTTACATAATAAAATCTGAGAGAATGTGTCACCAAAGACCCAAACTACAGGAAATGCTAAGGGAAGATCTTCAGGCTAAAGATAAATGATACAGGATGGAAGTTCAGATCACAGGAAGGAAGGAAAAGCAACTAGACATTTTTTCCTGTTTTCCAACACATATAATTTCTTATCTTTGCAAATTCTTTCCACATTTCCAAGTGTTTCTTTTTTATTTATTTCTTTTTTTGAGACGGAGTTTCGCTCTTGTTGCCCAGGCTGGAGTGCAATGACACAATCTCAGCTCACCGCAACCTCTGCCTTCTGGGTTCAAGTGGTTCTCCTACCTCAGCCTCCCAGGTAGCTGGGATTACAGGCATGCACCACCACGCCAGGCTAACTTTGTATTTTTAGCAGAGACGGAGTTTCTCCATGTTGATCAGGCTGGTATCGAACTACCGACTTCAGGTGATCTGCCTGCCTCAGCCTCCCAAAATGCAGGGATTACAGGCGTGAGCCACAGCACCTAGCCGTTTCCATGTATTTCTAATTCATATATTTTCACTGTTTTTGGTAGGAGCATTCAAAGCTATGATTTTTCCTTAGGGTCCTGCTTTTTTATTTTATTTTTTGAGTTGGAGTCTTGCTCTGTCACGCAGGCTGGAGTGCAGTGGCAAGATCTTGGTTCACAGCAATATCCGCCCCCTGGGTTCAAGCAATTCTCCTGCCTCAGCCTCCCAAGTAGCTGGGATTACAGGTGCACGCCACCACACCCACCTAATTTTTGTATTTTTAGTAGAGATGGGGATTCACCATGTTGGCCTGGATGGTCTTGATCTCCTGACCTCATGATCGGCCCACCTCAGCCTCCCAAAGTGCTGGGATTACAGGCATGAGCCACTGCACCTGGCCAGTGTCCTGCTTTAATTAAATCTCTTTTTTTTTTTTTTTTTTTTTTAAGACAGAGCCTTGCTCTGTTGCCCAGGCTGGAGTGCAGTGGTGTGATCTCGGCTCACTGTAACCTCCGCCTTCCAGGTTCACGCCATTCTCCTGCCTCAGCCTCCCTAGTAGCTGAGACTACAGGCGCCCACCACCACGCCCGACTAATTTTTTGTATTTTTAGTAGAGACGGGGTTTCACCCTGTTAGCCAGGATGGTCTTGATCTCCTGACCTCGTGATCCACCCGCCTTGGCCTCCCAAAGTGTTGGGATTACAGGCATGAGCCACCGTGCCCGGCCCTGTTTTCTTTTCATTCTATTTGTCTGATATAGTTTGCCAGTCCTTTTCTTAACCTTTCTAAATTAGTGAATCATTCAGGTGTCTGGGTTTTAATTCGTGATTCAATCTGAAAGGTCTTTTAATAGGTGAGTTAAACACCATTTGCATATATTAATAAGGCATATATATTTGCTCTCTGGTCTTAACTTTATCATGTAGTTTTTTTGTTTTTTTTCTTTTTGAGACAGAGGCTTGCTCTGTCACCCAGGCTGGAGTGCAGCGCTATCGTAGCTCACTGCAGCCGCAAACTTCTGGGATCAAGTGATCCTCCCACTTCCGCCTCAGCCTCCCCAGTAGCTAGGACTACAGGTGCACACAACCACAAGCAGCTGATTAACAAAAAAAAATTCTTTTTGTAGAGATGGGGTTTTATTATGTTGCCTGGACTGGTCTGGAACTCCTGGACTCAAACAATTCTCTCGCTTCAGCCTCTCAAAGTGCTAGAATTACTGGCGTGAGCCTCCGTGCCTGGCTTTTATCACGCGATTATTTTGTTAATTCTGTCTTGCTCACTCTCTCTGCATATATCTGTGTGTCTTAAGTCTTACTATACATAAGTTATTTTTTGTCTCTCAATACCGGTTAAGCCTCAGAACGGAAGATATGCATGTATGTGATATTTTTTCCCCACTGATTTATTCCTAGTTACCTAGAAGAATGCCTGTCACATAGTAGGTACTCGGTAAATATTCGTTAAATCACCTCATCCAATCAAAGTTCTCACAAGAGAAACACTAATATTTTCTTCAAAATAATATTATTTGTGTTCTTTCCTTGTTTCTGTTAAAAGATTTCACGTAAGGGAGATGAAGAATCATTTATTCAACAAGTATATGAACACGGGTTGGAGAGGAGAGAAGCAAAAATGAAGGCCCTGAAATTCTGGCACCGTCACTTACTCACTAGTAAGTTACTGTATAATTCTTAGGTAAGAAACAATGTCAGAATAAAGAAGGCAGGCCAGGCGCAGTGGCTCACGCCTGTAATCCCAGCACTTTGGGAGGCTGAGATGGGCGGATCACTTGAGGCCAGGAGTTTGAGATCAGCCCGGCCAACTTGGCAAAACCCCGTCTCTACTTAGAGTACAAAGATTAGCTGGGTGTGGTGGCATGTGCCTGTTGTCCCAGCTACTTGAGAGGCTGAAGTGGGAGAATTGCTTGAACCTGGGAGGTGGAGGCTGCAGTGAGCCAAGATCGCGCCACGGCACTCTAACCTTCCCACATGGGAGACAGAGTGAGGCTATATCTCCAAAAAAAAAAAAAAAAAAAGCAAATAGTCACATGCCCTATACAAAAAAACCAAACCAAAACAAAAAAAACACAAAAAATCTATTTTAATTAGGAGCAAGAAAAAAACAACTTACATGGGCCATGGCTTATTTTAGAATTGAATGTATTAATTAATCCTCTTCTTGGTTCCCTCTGGAAGAAACTCGGTCCAAAGAAGGTGTTGCTGGGGGAGAGGGGAGTTTAAAAAAAAAAAAAAGACAGGAGATTATTGCCTCTAAGCTCCCAAAATGTTAATTCAGAATGACATTTTTCTTCCCCCTTCATATCTCCTATTCCCAGACCTGATACATACATACATAAATTATTAGTGGGAATTTGGACAAATCCTAGCTTTACTCAAAACCATGAGGAAACCCAGCTACAGCAGGATAGACTCAAGAAAAGCAAGGATCATTCTCTTCAGCAGAAGGGATAGTTAGGCCAGCCCAGTGTTCCAATACTATGATGAAATGGAAGCCAGGATCAGGGTGCTGAGAACTGCCCTAAGTAGATTTTTACTGAATTAAGAGGAAAAAGAAAAGTTAATGGACATTATGAGAAAAGATCAGGGAAACAGAAAACAGACCCAAAAGACCCAATGTATGTATAACAGGAATTTCAAAAATAAGAGGCTGAAACAACACAGATGGAAGAGAAGAAATAAATAAAACAAAAATTTCCAGACCAAAATAAACTCTTGAGTCTTTAAAGTACAGTGCTGTAAGAATTAAAGAAGAATCGTACCTGCAAACATCCTGAGAAATATTCTTAAATTTGTCTTTGAATACAGACAAAAGGACATAAATATCTTTTAGTAAGAAGTTGCAGAGGTTGGGCGCAGTGGCTCACGCCTGTAATCCCAACACTTTGGGAGGCCGAGGCAGGCGGATCACGAGGTCAGGGGCCCAAGACCAGCCTGGCCAACATGGTGAAATCCCGTCTCTACTAAAAATACAAAAATGAGGTGGGTGTGGTGGCGGATGCCTGTAATCCCAGCTACTCGGGAGGATGAGGCAGGAGAACTGCTGGAAAACCCACGGTGGAGGTTGCAGTGAGCCCAGATAGCGCCACTACATTCCAGCCTGGGCGAAAGAGAGAAACTCCGTCTCAAAAAAAAAAAAAAAAAAAAGTTGCAGAAAAATGTGTATGTATTGTGGCCTAGCCTAATCTTAAGAAAAAAAAAAATCAAACACATATGTACATAAGCATACTACATATGTGGTGTTTTTCTGAGGCTGTGATGATAAATGCGGGGTAGCAATGTGATTTTGGCTTGTGTTGTATGTGTAAATCTACAGCTAACTCCTCAAGTAGTCAGGAGGGGAGATGGCTGAATGACACATCTCTGGGGCAGGGCGTCCTGAGCCTTAGATGTGTGCGCAGGAGCGGGGTGAGGTGACTGTGCGTGTGTCTGTGTGTGAGAGACCAGAGTTGACTGAGAGGAGTGGAAGCTCTCTGACTGATCGTGTGAGCCTCAGGATAAAGTAAATGCTTTTTTTCTTTTTTGAGACGGAGTTTCACTCTTGTTGCCCAGGCTGGAGTGCAATGGTGCGATCTCGGCTCACCGCAACCTCCGCCTCCCGGGTTCAAGCGATTCTCCTGCCTCAGCCTCCCGAGTAGCTGGGATTACAGGCATGCACCACCACACCTGGCTAATTTTGTGTTTTTAGTAGAGATGGGGTTTCTCCACGTTGGTCAGGCTGGTATCGAACTTCCGACCTCAGGTGATCCACCCGCTTCGGCCTCCTAAAGTGCTGGGATTACAGGCGTGAGTCACTGCGCCCGGCCTGTGCTTTTTCTTTCATGTAAATAAATGGGACTTAAACAAATAGCCATTCACAATAATGGTCACAGTCACCTACATTTACACAAATGATCGGGCACAGAATCACACTGTCAGTAAAGCACACCCACGCACCAGGTCGCTGTCCCAACAGTAACACACACTTAGCCCAAAGATAAACCCTACTTCCTCACGCATGCAAAACACACCCCCCTAAGGGGTGATCCCGCACTCAGAGGCTTAAAACTACAGACATTCCCCTTCCACGACACTGGTGAGCCAGGATTTCTCACCTTCAGCATCCTCAGGGAAGGCTCTGGTCCAAGTCCTGATTCGGATTCCAGGCGAGGCCGCTCTACCTTCTCCACCGGCCCGGGACACCCTTACCTGCCTCTATCCGGAGACCATTCCTCCGAGGCTCCTACCGGAAGTAGCTGTGGACAGCGGTGTCCTCTGGGAAATGCAGTCCGAGGGGAGAGCGCCTGGGATGGAAAGGGTGTGTTCCGCCGGGGCTCCGGGATGCACTTGCGCAGTTTCACCCGAGGCTGGAGTGACGCCAACCTCTTTCGGATACCAGACTTCGGGTTCCGCTGAGGACGGATTTCAGAATAGGGACAGTGGCTGCCCCGACCTCCTCAAGGCGGCCGCCGCGGGGTGTGGCTGAAGATAATTTTTGGCGGGCGCGGACTAATCCGGCTTCCCTTTGTGGAGTTGTGGTGAGAGAAGTGTTTTGTTGCGAGACGGCACGTGCGCCTATCCGAAGGTGACTCTGGTGGAGAAGGTGGATATGAACCGACTTGTGAGGGTGTAGCGCGTAAGATTCGTATGTGAAACGATTTTTTTTTAAATTTTTTTTTGGCTGGGCGCGGTGGCTCACGCCGAGGCGGGCGGATCACCCGAGACCAGCCTAATATGGAGAAACCCAGTCTCTACTAAAAATACAGAATTAGCCGGGCGTGATGGCGCCTGCCGGTAATCCCAGCTACTCGGGAGGCTGAGACAGGAGAATCGCTTGAACCCGAGAGGCAGAGGTTGCGGTGAGCCTAGATAGCGCCATTGCACTCCAGCCTGGGCAACAAGAGCAAAATTCCTTCTCAAACAAACAAAACTGTACGTCATATATTTGACTCAACTTATTTTATATATATATTATTATTACTACTACTATTATTTTGAGACGGAGTCTCGCTCTGTCGCCCAGGCTGGAGTGCAGTGGCGCGATCTCGGCTCACTGCAAGCTCGGCCTCCCGGGTTCACGCCATTCTCCTGCCTCAGCCTCCAGAGTAGCTGGGACTACAGGCGCCCGCCACCTCGCCCGGCTAATTTTTTGTATTTTTAGTAGAGACGGGGTTTCACCGTGTTAGCCAGGATGGTCTCGTTCTCCTGACCTCGTGATCCACCCGTCTCGGCCTCCCAAAGTGCTGGGATTACAGGCATGAGCCACCGCTCCCGGCCTATTTATATATTTTTTCAGACAGAGTCTTGCCCTGTTGCCTGGGCAAGAAAAACAACAACAACAACAACAAAAACAAAACAAAAACTGTACGTCATATATTTCACTCAACTTTAAAAAATTTTTTTTTATTTTTTTGACACAGGGTCTTCATGCCCTGTTGCCCGGGCTGAGTGTGGTGTCGGGATCCTAGCTCACTGCAATCTCCACCTCCTCTGCTTCTCTCGCATCCACCTCCCAAAGTGCTGTGATTACAGGCGTGAGCCACCAGGTCCGGCCAAAACGATTTTTATTTATTTATTTATTTATTTATTTATTTATTTATTTATTTATGGTAAAGACGAGGTCTCGCTATGTTGCCCACGCTGGTGGTCTCGAACTCCTGGACTCAAGCGATCCTCCCACCTCGTTTGCCAAAGTATTGGATGACAGGTGTGAACCACCGCGCTGGGTCGTGAAACGATTTTGAGGCCTTTTGGGAATGGCTGTGCTATATGCCCGCGTGGGGTTCATGTGGTAAGCGCCGCCACTCCCGCAGTGGCCCCTGTGGGGTGATACGTGATGTGGCTTAAATGGGAGAGGCCACCTGGACCTGTGTGATTGCCATGTTTGCGGGAGCGCAGCCACGTGCACAGGGATCCTGTGACATTCTGTGTGAGGCTTTTTTGCGCTGGGTCCACCCATGATTAGAGGACTAGTGTGACTGTGGCGGCCCCTGGGAAGGGAAAAAGCTGGTTGGGACCAGGAGGGTCTGAGATGGATGAATGACAGATCTCTGGACCAGGGCGTCCTGAACCTTAGATGTATGCATAGGAGCGGTGTGAGGTGACTGTGTGTGTTTGGTTGTGTGTGAGTCCAGAGCTGACTGAGAGGAGTGGAAGCTGGTACATGTTATCTGCCAGAAGGGACAGATCCATGGTAAGGACTTTTAACTTCGCTGAGAGACCAGTAACTCCATCACCAAGTGTAATATGAGGAAATGGTGCTTGAGAACAAGTGATTCTGCTTGTGTCTGATTCTTGTTCATGTATGTGGGATGGTTTGCTCTTGAAACTGTCACTGAAAGGAGAGTGAAATATATGATGTATAGCTGGCCCTCCCTATCCATGGGTCTTGCATTGGGGATTCAACAAACCTTCAGTTGAAAATATCTGGGAAAAAGTTGATGTTTGTATCTGTACTGAACTTGTACAGACTTTTTTTTTCTTGTCATCATGCCCTAAACAATAGAATATAACAACTATTTACATGGTTATTAGGTATTATAAGTAATCTAGAGAGGGTTTAAAGAATACGGGAGGATTTTCGTAGATTATATGCAAATACTGTGCCATTTTATATAAGGGACTTGAGCATCTGTGGATTTTGGTAGGGAGGAGTCCTGGAGGGATGACTGTATGTGAAAGTGGTTTGTGAATATGCTCAAGTCTCTGGATGAATTGTATGACAGTGAAGGAGTACATGATTAGGCTGTTGTGGCTTTGAGGTTGATGTGTATATTTTAAAGGATTATGATTGAGCTGGAGATCATGTGAGATTTGATGTGTTTGAATGTGACTTCTGAGTTAAAATCTGAATGAAAGATTGCGAGGTTATATAAATGTAGTAACTGCATAAGAGAATGCAGGTATCTGGGACCCATGGATACGTTACAATGGGGAAAATAAATAATCAGACCTTTCAGTGATTACTTTTCAGGGTAGTTTGGTGGCAGCACTTTGTGCAAGGAAGGCAAATCCATATCCATAGTGTCTATTTCAGTGAGAAAAAAGCAGTCCAACCTGCCACCAGAGAATGGTGCCATATTGGGGACTCACTGTTGGTCTCTGCACAGTCACTCTAATAAAAGCCATAGGTCCCTTTTGGAAGACTGGGAGAAAGATTAACAGTATAAATTTCTGGAAGTATACTGGTGTTCTTCCTCAAGGGGACCTGGCTTCCCCTTCATTCAAGGGCTTCTAGGTGTCTTCAGTGACTCAAGTCCGGGTATTCATTGAGGGACCTGACTTTCTGTCTTTATGAATCAAGTTACGCTTTTGTTCACTTGACCTAGAAGTCTTCCACTTACGCAAATCAATTAATGCTTTAGTAGATTTCCCATCTATTTAACTTCCACCAAAGAATATCAGCCATCTTCCCAGATAGTTACCCTGTAACAGATATTTTCTTTGACATGTTCTTTCATGGCCATTTTGCATTCTTTACCACAATAAATCATTGTTTCATATTTATTAACTTGTTTTAAATTAGACACTGGCTCTGAACTGACCTTAATTCCAGGAGACCCAAAACATCACTGTCATCTACCAGTCAGAGTAGGGGCTTATGGCAGTTAGGTAATGAATGGAGTTTTAGCTCAGGTATATCTCACAATGGGCACAGCAAGTCCCAGAAGCATTCTGTGGTTGTATCCCCAATACCACACACAAAATTGGACTAGATCTACTTAGTAACTGGCAGAATCCCCACACTGATTACCTGAGGGCTGTTAGGGTGGGAGAGGCCAGGTGGAAGCTACTAAAACTCTCCACCTAGAAAAATAGTAAATCAGAAGCAATACCACATTCCTGGAGGGATTGCAGAGATTAGTACCACCACTAAGAAAAATATGCAGGGGCGGGGATTCCCACCCCATCCCCATTCAGCTTGCCCAGTTGGCCCTGCAGAAGACAAATCGGTCTTGAAGAATGCCACTGGATTATCATAAGCTTGACCAGGTGGTAACTCCTGTTGTAGCTGCTGTACCAAATGTGGTTTTGTTGCTTAAGGATATTAACACATCCTCTGCTACCTGATGTGTAGCTACTGAGCTGGCAAATGCTTTTTTCTCCATCTTTGTTATTTAAAACCACCATAAATAGCTCGCTTTCAATTGGTAAGGCCAGTAACAACACTTTCACTGTGCTGCCTCAAGGGTATATCAATTCTCCAGACATATATTGTAAGTTAGTTCACAGGGATCTTGATTGCCTTTTCCTTCCGCGAGATACTGCACTGGGCCGGGCACAGTGGCTCAGGCCTGTAATCCTGGCACTTTGGGAGGCTGAGGCGGGTGGATCATCTGAGGTCAGCAGTTCCAGATCAGCCTGGCCAACATGGCAAAACCCCGTCTCTACTAAAAATACAAAAATTAGCTGAACATGGTGGCACACACCTATAATCCCAGCTCCTTGGAAGGCTGAGGCAGGAGAATTGCTTGAACCCAGGAGGCAGAGGTTGCAGTGAGCTGAGATCGTACCACTGTACTCCAGCCTGGGCCACAGAGCAAGATTCCGTCTCAAAACAAACAAACAAACAAAAAATACTGCACTAATCCATTACGTTGATGACATTACACTGATTCGACCTAGTGAACAAGAAGTAGCAAGTACTGTAGATTTATTGGTAAGACATCGCATGTCAGAGGATGGAAATAAATCCAGTAAGAAATCAGGGGCCTTGTACTTCACTGAAATCCCAGGGGTCAGGTGGTGTGGAGCATGGTGAGATATCCCTTCTAAGATGATGGATAAATTGTTGCATCTGGCTCCTCCTACAGTCAAAAAGGAGGCGCAATGCATACGGGGTCTCTTCGGATTTTGGAGACAACACATTCTTCACTTGGATGTGTTATTCTGCTGGCCATTTACCATGTGATCCAAAAAGCTGTTAGTTCACAGTGGGGCCCAGAACAAGGGAAAACTCCCCAACAGGTCCAGGCTGCTGTGCAAGCTGATGTGTGCCACTTGGGCCACGTGATCCAACAAATATAATAGTGCCTCCAGTGTCAGTAGCAGAGAGGGATGCTGTTTGGAGCCTGTGGCAGGGCCCAACAGAAGAATCACAGGATAGGCCCTGAGGATTTTGGAGCAAAGCTCCATCTTCCTTTTTAGAAAACACCTCTCCAGAGGCAGCTTTTGGCCTGCTACTGGACCTTAGTAGAGACTGACCATTTAATCATGGGCCACCAAGTTACCATGCAACCTGCACTACCCATCATGAAATGGGTGTTATCTGACCCACGAAGTCATTAAATTGGGTGTGCACAGCAGTACTCTATCATAAAATGCAAGTGGTATAAATGTGACCAGGCCTAAGCAGGCCCTGAAGGCACACATGTGAAGAAGTGGCCCAAAAGCCCATCGTTCCCCTCCTGCTGCAATACCTTTCTCTCCCAGCCTGCACTCGTGGCCTCATGGGGAGTTCCCTATGATCAGTTGATAGAGGCAGAGAAGACTCAGGCCTGGTCTACGGATGGTTCTGCATGATAGACAGACACCACCTGGACAGCACTACAGTTCTGTTCTGGGACATCCTCAAAGAACAGTGGTAAAGGG